CCCCCCGCGCACCCCCGCGCCGGGACCAGCGGCGTCCAGGGCGGAGCGTGGCGCGGGCCGGCGGGGCGGCGCGCGCGGCTGCCGGGGACCCCGGGGCGGGGGATGGGAGGCCTGGAGCGCTCTGCCCGGCGTGCGGGAGCACGGTCTGCCCGCCCCCCAGCCGTGGAGCGGATGGGGCTCAGGATCCCACTGACATCACGCGGGGAGCTGCTGGGATCGCTCCCCGGGGGAGGGAAGGGGAAAAGCGTGCCAGGCTCCGAGGCGCTGCGCTTTCTGCAGGCCCTGGCAAGCTTTTTTGCACTTTACAGTTACTGGGGAGCGGGAGACTGTGGGTGAAGATGAGGCATGGCTGGGTATGTTCGCGGATCTGCCCGCAGGAAGGTCCAGGTATTCGTTTTAGGACCTCTTCGTCCTAAAAAACGGGGCCGAGAATGTCCCAAAATAATAACCTAATCTACTCTAGCGGTACCAGCCGAGCGTCCTGGTGCTAAGTTAACCGGCAGAACTAAATCTAGTAAAGTATAAAGGTTGTGAAGAAATAAGGCGAGAAGCCCCCCCCGTCCCCGCCCCCGCCCCCAATCTCTGGTGGACACGCCTCCTCCCTCCCTTAGTCCCCTGGCACTCAGTCTTCGCCCCTCCCCGCAGGAGCCAAAATTTCCCAGCCTAAAGAGGTTTCTTTCCTTCTGAAAGACCCTGATGACTCAGCTTTTTTTTTTTTTTTTTAAGCCTGTTTTGGTGTATTCCTAGGCAAATTCTTGAAATGTGAAACCAGGATAAGAGTTACTGCTGAGTTTTCTTGTCGCAAAGAGATTCTGTTCATCTGTAGAGTTATTTCAATGCATCTTCTTGACTCCTAAGGGTGTCTCTGTTCTGGGCGCTTACATAGTGCTTTCCACGCCGATTTTATTTGCATTGTAAACATCTCAGTAAGTATCTTAGATTTTGTTTCTTTATTTACTTTGGGCAAACGAATCATCACATCAGTGTATTTAAGAACCCACGCTCTGGAGTCAGACATGATTCAAGTCCTAATTCTAGGACTCAAAGCCTGACTTCTAAGACCTGCACCAAGTTAGACTTTTCTGTGCCTTGGATTTCTCATCTGTGAGATGGAGATAATGAGGACCTACCTCTGAATATGGTGATGAGGTTGAAACGAGGTGATGAGCACACTCTCTGACCCAGACCTACAACCCTACACAGAATAAAATCAGTGCTGCTATTTCACTTACAAGAGAGGAGCCTACAGGGAAGGGGAACGAATGTGGACTCATCTCCACCTAAAGGGTGATAGAGGCGGTTGTGCTGGGGTGCGTTCTCTCTGGAAAAGGTTATATTGCATTGAATTTATCTGGTGACTCTCTTAATATGTTTATCCCCAAAATCGAGTCGCTTAGTAAAACATTTGTAAGGGTGAAATAAATGTACATGTAAGCGAAAGCGGAGTCATCTTGGTCATCTAGCTGATGCGAGGGAAATACAGGTGAGCCTCTCTCAGGGGCTGCCTTGTGAGCGCCCCACAACAAAATGTGCCAAAAGTAGCTCTTGAGAAAAAAAAAAAATCTCTTGGGTTCAGGCTCCTCCCATTTCTCAGGCAGCTTCCTGGCTTCTGGTCCTTGAGTTCCTTCCCTGTAAAAATAAAAGGATGGGGATTTTCAAGGTCCTTTTTTTCACCCTAAAAGTGCCCAGAATAGTATCAGATAATTGTGGAGAGGTTGTAGTATACAGGATGTAGAGCTGAGCATTGTGGGAGATTCAACTTTGATGGAAGGCATTTGGGACCTTCTAGTTTACACCAGTTGTTCTCAGGGGGTGTCCTTGCATGTCCAATGGCAGCCTGATGGCCATGTCCAATGGCAGTCCTGGGTGGCTCGGTCTGTTGGGTGTCTGGCTTCAGGTCAGGTCATGATCTAACGGTTTGTGAGTTTGAGCCCCGCTTCAGGCTCTGTGCTGACAGCTCAGAGCCTGGAGCCTGCCTTGGGTTCTGTGTTTCCCTCTCTCTGCCCCTCCCCTGTTCATGTTCTGTCTCTCTCAAAAATAAATCAACATTTAAATAAATAAATAAAAAAGAAATGCAAAATGCAAATCATGTGCCTCACAACAAACATTCTGAATCAGAAATTCCCAAGTGGGAGCAAGCAATCTGTGGTTTAACAAGTCCTACAGGTAATTCTGATGAATACTAGTTTTGAGAACCTCTCCTTTACACAGTACTTTTCATACATTATCTACAAACCAAAAGGTTTGTTATCTCCCTGATCATTATGTTTGTGCTGAGCACTTTATAATCTCATTTTATCTTTCCAACACCTGTGAGGGAGGGGGAACCTTGTACACTCAGTTTAAGCGCATTGACATCCCTTTACTTCTCTGAGAGTCCAGTTTTTCCATCTCAGGTCCTTCTTCTCAGGCTAATGTCTACTTATCCTTCAGGACTCTGCTTATGTGTCCCCTCTCCCGGGAGGTCCTCCCTGATCCTGCTGGGTTAGCTCCTGCTAGTAAAATTTATCACAACAGAATTTATCACAGTGGAATTTTTTGTATAGTTACCTATTTAATATTTGTATCCTCTATTGACTCATAAGCTACATGAGTCAGGGACCCCGTCTGAATTACTCTCCAGTGTATTCTCAGTACCTACCATGGTGTTGGTCATATACAAAGTGCTCAGTAACTATTTGTTGAAGGAATGAATGTTGAATTCCTTATCTACTTAAGGGGAAACTGAGGCTCAAAAAAGTTAAGTAACTTTCCTGAGATCACACACCTAGAGGGTATTAGAGCCGGGACTCCAAACTCCAGACTTTTATTTTTAGCCACTATTCTCATAGCCTTTCCAATTTCTGAAGAAGAAAATAAAGTTCTGAGATATAAAATGACTTGCCTGAACTCATATAGCTAGTAAATAATAGAATCAGGATTAGAATTCATGTCTTCTAATATTTATGTTCTTTTATACCACATTATGCTGCTTTACTCTGTCCTTCAGAAACTTACATCTAGTGGGATGGACAAGGCATACATATAGGACAAGTTAAATTCATAGTAAGAGGAATTAAAAGGGACATATCTACAGGGCCTGGTATCTTGCCTGGTACACAGTAGATGTTCTATGAATGTCTCCTGAATGAATAATGATCATATGGCATCCAACTTTGGAATATTTACAACATGTCTCATGCTACTAAGTGTTTATGAGCATATCCAGTGGGTTTCTCAAAGTAGGGCCCTTGAAGTCTGGGAAGCTTGCTAAAATGCAGATGCCTAGGACTTAGACCCATTGACTTGGACTCTGTGGGCGTGGGTCTTGAGAATCTGCACCTATCTCCCGGTGACTCTTATGTCCACTAAAGTCTGAGACACAATCCACTACTAAATAAGCATTCAAGACAGACATGGGTAGCACAAGGGGAAATGCTACTCTAGATGTAATGAAAGTTGTTGAAGGTCACACCACTGATAAGTATCAGAGATAATAAGGAATTGCATTGTTTTGACTCCAAAAGCCTGTACTCTTTCCGTGCGATTGTGAAAGAAGGGAGGGATGGGTAGAGGAAAAGAGGATGGGCAGAATGGAAGAATAGGCAAGGAGGAAGGAGGGAATAAGGCCAAATGAGTAATAAGGAAAACAGATTTCATAGAGAAGGGAAAGAGACTACGATCTGGCTGGGTTGTCAGAGAATCTTTGCCGCAAAGGAGTGGGAATTTACTGGGAACGGAATAGAGATTTACGAGCTGCCTTGCCCCTCACTTTATCTAATAGCATTCACTCATTGTGGCCAGAGGGACAGCCTTTCAAACACAGGGTTGTCGAAACACAGAGGCTTTTTAAACGAAAAATGCATTTTATTAAATACAGTGCTTGCATTTGCCAAAAAGTGACTTTAGAAGGACCAGACACAGACCGTCTCAACTGTGAATAAGCTGCCCAGATAAAAGCAGGACCCCAGATCAGATTCCTGTTACCTTTTCCATGTCTGCAACAAGCATGTGTGTGCAGTTGGGCCCCTGAGTTGCAGAGCTAATAAGAGGCCTGAAATCAGAGGCAGTCCTTTGCCATCAGACAAATCATTTCACACGGTGTGTCAAGTAATTATGAAAATCGAGGGATGATATGAGTAAACTTGCTCCAGACTGACTTTAAGTATTGACTGTAAGTAGCAGAGAAGTTCTCTGCTGCTACATTTGCATCTCCCTAATGCATCTCATTGCATTTATGTATTCTGTTTTTCAACAGCTATAATAGAGGCATGCCTACTATGTTCCATCACTAATCGCTTGCATCATTAAAGCTTCAGAGTTGGAGCTCTAATCTGACTTTAAAGCCTCTGCCAGAATAATCTACTAGAAAACTCTATTTCTGTTAAATTTTGTTGGCATGGCAACCACCAAGCAACACTGTGGAGAGTGCCTTAAATCCCACAGCAGCCGGTTAGCCTGAGTGAGTGTGCCGAGAGGAGGCCATATATAGAGGCTAAAAATAGACAATTTACAGCAAGGTGCCCTGCGCCCCCACCAGCTAGGAGGATTATGACTTACTTGTTCCCCTTGGTGGGGTCAAACGTGAGCGGTAGGAGAGAATGCACCAGTCTTCCAGCGTGTGGGTTTTTCCAGCCCACTGCCTGGACTAGGAATGTGGAGACCCAAGGGCTAATGCCAACTTCACCCCCCTAATTAGTTGTGTGAGATTCTATTCAAGCTGGGCAACATCTCTGGGCTTAGTGTCCTCATTCGTAAAGGACAGGGAGCTGGTATGGATTAAGGACTTTCCAGTGCCACAGTCCTGGCTGCTAGTCCAAAGTGTTGGTCATTTCCTTGCTAACGTGGGTTGGGTGGCTGGGGGAGAAGACATGGCAGGCAGTCATGGTGGTAGTGAAGTTTGTCAACAGGCAATTTGGCAAAAATCATCAGTTGACATCTCTTCTGGTAATAGCATGTCATATGTATCAAGTGCTTACCAAGTGCTTACTAACAAGTATCAAGTGTATCAACTGTGCCAAGGATGGGCCTAAGTGATTTTCACATAATGTGCTATTTTACCTTCCTAACAAACCCAGGAGAAAGGCATTACTGGTATCCCTATTTTATAAATGAGTAAACTGAGTCATAGAGAGGTAAAGTACACAGATCATTTCCACAGAAGCAGCTAGGATTCAAACTCGGAACTGCCTAAATACAGAATCAATGTGCTTGCCCATGATTCCATTGTATATCTGGTGCCTCCATCGTTGTCTGGCACCCTGAGGGCTCTCAAAAACGAATTGCCGAATGTGCAATAAATGACTAGTATGCTAGAAGGTTCTCAGTGCCTGAATGCTTCAAGCCTTTTTCTTTCTTTTTAAATTTTTTTATGTTTATTTATTTTTGGGAAAGAGAGAGAGATAGAGCATGAGTGGGGGAGGAGCAGAGAGA